AGGTTCATTCTAATTTTTCATATTTTCGATGTCTCTCAAAACGCTGGAAATGGCATTTCCAACAGTTATTTATTTCAATACATTGTGGGGGAGGTCCCGTCTCCCTTAATACTCCCGCCTTTTGGCGGTCGATCGACCTCTAGTCCCACGGTGCATCACGCCGACGTTATGAAGCTASTGGATTATTTTTTTGTTATCATAGTGGATTATTTTAAAACTTGATTAAGAGTGCCAATTTGCTTCAGTGTTRATCTCTTACCCTTGAATGTATTCTTGGAATTTCTTCCAATCAATGCGGTGACCATCGTAGTTCTTGCTGATCACGTCTCTTTCGTTTAGAAGTTCACAAGGCAGTGCTCGATCATTATCTTCGTCACGATAACATCCGACTTTTTCAAAGTTCATGTCACACTTTTCGTATTTCCCCTTGTCTGGAATGAAGATTTAAGTTAATTTAATTTTAAGTAGAGGAAAGGCGATAACTAGAAAGAAAAAAATGCTTTTAAAAGACAGGTGAATTTTCAAAAAAACTCACCAGACCTTCAGCACTGAGAAATGACATGTGGAATGAGATTACAGCAAACACTTGAAACTTTGCAGAAATGTCGACTAAAGTGTATTCTTTCAAACAAGATACGCGTAAGGAATAATATCAAAACTGTTTTTCACCGATATATGTGAGCCACGTTATGCTTTTTGAAGTTTCCWCCTCTAAAATGACTTCTTAAAAACCCTCTAGAGCCGGTTGTACGAAGGGTGATAAAATCCCTTACAACATTTAAGGAGCGGATAATAACTTTAWAAGCCATTTGTACGACCTGTCTTTTAAATGTTTGCCGAATGGATATCTATCGTTATTAGTAGGGCTAGCCGAAGGCTGGGTCGACTTGAGTTTTACCTCTTTGGTAATCTATCTATCTATCTTTTGTATTTTGTCGCGTTCGGAGCAGCGGAAGTTAAAAATTTCAATTTTCACTATTGGGTTGGCTGTGTTATTACATGACCGGAAGCTCAAACGTATAGATGTACAAATATCGTTAGTAAATGTCAGATGCTACTTGCGCTTTTATGTGATAAAAAACTATTCGTTTACAAATGTGGTATCWGTGATCTCATCGGAATGCATCAGTCTAGGCATCAGAAGTATGCGCATGTGCGGGTCGCATGGAGCCTTGAGTAGTATGCTTACGAAATTAAATCAATGACCTTTCTAGCGTTAGACAGATTTCAAGTTAGAACAAGAAGAAACTTTTAAAATAACAAAAAGGCGAATTTGATTATTTTATAGGCATCTTTTATTTTTGTAAAGTATTCATTTTCTTGGCCTGAGAGGTCAATTTGAATTAAAACGTATTAGATATCATGATATCACTTAGCGATATTTAGTCTACCAATTTTCAAATTTTCAATTTTCAATTTTCACGCCCCAAAAGCGTCTAGTTATTATTTTTATTTATGATCATTTTTTTCATGAAGTGTTTTAAATTTACCATATTACATCTTTTAAAATTCGCAGCCCTTTAGGTTTAATAATTTGTCAGATATTGAGGAAAWGATACTCTGCGGCCATATGTCTTTAATTTGAAAAGTGCAAAGTAACTGATTTCGGATTCAATGTCCAGTCCATAATGCGCATGATTACTTGAATTTTCTACAGATGAGTCTGCGGTAACTATAGGACTAAAGACTTGACCACAATCAGTTAATTTCTGAAAGTTAAGCCTTTGGCTGCCTCCCTGCCTGACTGCATACTTACGGTCTTCTTGGAATGTTCTGCAAACTCTTTTTCCACAGTTTACTAAAAAAAGAAAAAAAATCATTAACTTGAGACATTCAACTGTGATCAATCATTGATTTATTCGTGAAAACCTCACCAGTTTTAAATGTCAATGCCATAAAGGCAACTGTGACAATAAGTAAAGTTCTGGCCATCATGGGTAGATCTAAAATATTTATAAATAAATGCCATTAATACTGAAAATGTTGTGTTCCAATAMAAATATGATCAAAAAATAAATAAAAATAAATAAACAAAAACCCGAACAAATTAAAACAAAAAATAACCAGAAAAAAAGACAAAAACAAACAAACAAACGATAAAGTATCAACTAAAAAAGTACGATCCACAACTAAAAACAAAGCCGTTTTTAAAAGGAAGCACACACACGCAAAAAAAAAAAAAAAAAAAAAAAAAAAAAAAAAAACGCAACCAAAAAACAAAACAGACAAATCCGGATTCTTTTATCCTACCTATAGAGATTAGCCGACCATAAATTGCATATCATTGAGTCATACCTGATGCCAAGCTATTTAACAAAGAAGATCCTTTAGCATCTGTATAGGTCAGTGCTTTTGAAARGCCTCTATAAAGATGATGACGTTCACTTCAACTGTTTTTAAGCCCCAATGCCARCACTACGGTAACGCTGAAAGTTTGTTAACAATTTTTGCCTTCAGGCTTGGCTCATTAAACTTGCTTCCACAGTGTTTATCACAAAAATGTCATCTAATGATTGCAAACCCTGGTTGTTGACCGGGCAACGTAGGAAGGAAAGTGAGCCTCTCGAAAATACAGTAAACTGAAGATTACCGTACAATTCTATATTTGTTTATTTCAGCATTAATATTTTCCGCGTTTCCAATCTCTTTAGAAACACGCGGCGAAACTAATTGTTTGGACAACACGAAAAAGGTTTTTAATCACGAGATGTAARCGATATAAAACAACAACAGCTCTTCCCTTAAATCGAAGCAAGTTTTAGAAGGAGCCGACGGGTTCCTTGGAGAAATAGTGTTTGTTCTTATGTCCCAGTCAGCTGTAATTCACAACTGGTTGCCAGCGAGAAATTCAGGAAAAAAAAGAACTCTCCATACAACGAATACTTTCTAAGAATTTTTGGCAGGAAAATAAAAATATCCTAAATAAAAAGATATTGSCCGTTTTTGACCATAAAAGCGTTAATGTAAGTCTTTTTTGACCATAAAACGTTTTCCAGAAACACAATTATTTTAAAGAAGGAATAAGGGCGCCACATTTGATTGTGAGATTGTCAACAACATGCAACAATGCTGCTCAAAATCCCTTTCCTAGGAAAAAGATGGTACAAGAAGAGTTGCTTAGAAGAATACAGACCCCGTCGTCTCCTCCTGATGCTTCTATGTTCTCAAAAACACGTTTTTCTTACATGTCAAGCTTTCAGGTGGGCGCGAGATATAAGAGCTAACATTATAACAAAGTTGTAAAAAAAAGACAAGAAAAGAAAAAAAAATCGATGCAAATTTCATCGTGCTGAGAATTTTGTTATCAGTCAAGAATAATAAGATACATGATTTGCCGCTCGTTCGTCAAAAAAGCAAGMAACAATTTAATTATGATCGAGGAGCATTTTATAAAACGGTCCATTGCGGTTCTGTCCTCTCTGAGAGACAGACAGCACTTGAGATGCAATAGAAACACTCATTTGCACCTTGTTTACACCAAAAGAAAGAGCAAGAGGGAGTTTTTTTATTTCTTAAGAAAAATCTCGTCTGAAATCTTCTTTAAGATCATGTAAATTATTCGTTTTTAGTTTTTTTCATCGATTCTTTTCAAATGATGCATGAAATTATATATCGAYCTTTCTTTATCTGATTTCAGTTTTTTTTCTACCAATAAAATGCAAGCTCAGCATTAAAACTCTTTACAAAAAAAGTTCAATCATTTACAGTCAACTCACGCCTTATGGACACCCCGCTATTACGGACACCTGGACATTGCGGGCACGCAATAATGAATCCCCGGCAAAAAATTCCAAAGAAATGACTGAAAGTAACTCCCGTTATTACCGACACTAAATTACGGTCTAAGGGTGTCCGTAATATCGAGAGTTGACTGTAATTTCCATAACAGATCTCGGTCATTTTATAATTGTGACTTYAATACAAACAAAATCTGTTCTGCTCTTTTGTTGTTAGTTACAGCCTACTATTTCATTCAGGTTAATGCCGAAAACAAGCAAAGGCTCGATTGCCTAGCAACAAAAGGACTTGCTTTGTGGAAACTACTCCCAACACCTGATGAGCGGTATAATGGYCATTTACAATCCATACAGAAATCACCGAAGTTACAGGCAAGAGTACGTGTTTTAGCAATTTTCACATGCTGATCAAATTAACGTCTTACAGATGTGAATGAAAAAACAAAATAGGGCATCTCAATGAATAGAAAATATGAAGTGGATAGATTTAGGGCTACCTTAAAATAATTTTCTTTGAGAGGAACACTGTTTTACTTTTTCTTTTTTTTTATAATGAGTCACATTATTCACTTCAATGTCAATTTCAATCTTTATATTGCAGAGGAGCCGACAAGGTCTGTTTTTCTAAATAACTGTTCTTGTACGAATTTTTTTCCTGGGAAAGGGATTTTGAGCCACTACATTGTTGACAATCTCACATAAGCAAATGTGGTGCACTTCCTTCTTTAAAACAATTTCGTTCTTGGCAAACGTTTTTAAGGTCAATCAAGGCTTATATAACGTTTTTATGGTCAAAAACCATATTTTTATAGTTATATTTTTTTTCCTGGCAAAAACTGTAAGGAAATATTTTTCGTGGAGAGTTCTTTTTCCTCACTGTGGCACCAAGTTGTGACTTTACGCAGCTGGCTGGGCACATAAGAACAGATATATTTCTCACAGCGGAACCCGTCGAGAAACAAGGGGTCATGGCTAGCAATCCATCCTAATCACATTTCAACAAACAACAAAAAATTCAAATTTTCAAAGCAAATCTTTCGACCTTTCTTCATATTTTGATTTTAAGCCAACAAATCAGTAGCCCACTATAAGTGACTGAAGTCAGTCTTCCGAACGAAAAAATGTATAAYTTACTCACCCGGTAACATAAGAAGTGTAGTGTGTGTACTTTRTTTTCCAGAGATATATAACCTCTCCTTATACACATTCTTATCAACCCTTAACTACCGAAAGAGAGCCGTTATGATTAATCAAAATTGCAAKTCTTCTAAGACATAATATTCTAAGTTTATTATATTGACGACATAGATCGATGGCAGGCCGGCGACTTACACACCTTTTAACACTATTGTTCAGATACCTAAAAACTTTTAACTTTTATTGATATTTTTTTTGCAACTATAACCATTCATGTTGGCACTATGTGTGTTTCACTGAGACATATTTATTTAAAGAAGAGAACCCCCTTCCCTCCCCCTTTAAACGAAGTTTTTCATGTGAAGTCTGGTCAGTACCCTTGTAGATCATTTCATGATAACCCCCCACAGTTACCATGTACTGATTTTCAAAATACAGGTATAAAATATTAGTATTGGGGTTGGAAGTGAAAATCGAAAATTGAATATCGTACTTCAAAATCTTAGGAAAATTTAATATTCCCTGAAAAACGAACGGAATACGGAATATTTCAATAAAACTTACACTTAAGGGAGAATAGGAAATACTCATCCAGTTAGTAATAARTGTTGGAAAAATGAATAATCATTGCCTTAAAGGGACACTGTCAATGGATGACATGCGCAGTAACAGTCTTGCCTCTAACGGACTTTGAAAGTATTACCTTCGAGGTAAATCGATGTTTTGCACACTTTGGAATATTCTAGATCTTTTAAACGTTTACGAGTACCTTTTTGTCATGCGTCGCGCCAACTTGGAGTCGTAAACTTGAAAACATCAGGCTAATCTTTTCAAGTTTACTCGCGCATGCGTGCCATTGATAGTGCCCCTTTAAGTATCAACTAAAACTTAACTGCTATACCTAGCACTTAATAACTAAAATCATGTGGAATATCCTCCGAAATCCTATCAATGAATGTGAATATTCACCCCTGGATATCAGCGTAATACGAAATATGTTAAGTTGAAATATTCCCCTTCCAMCMCCGATATTAGTAAGAGAAACGCCGAGTTTTCACACCGACAAAGCTTTACTGTGWTATCCCCCAAAATTTTCTCGTCTCACGTGTAGGCTTTTCTAAAAGCTATAAATGTTTTTTTAATGTTGTGCGTACGTGAAAACTAAAAGCGACAACAATCATACGAATGACTGTTTTGCACGGCACCCCGTCTTGATCGACTCATTTATGTGAGACTATTGGAATCGGCTATTGATTAAAAAAAATCAGCTATCAATACAAGAATCCAACAGACACGTGCAACAGGCAACTTCTCGTCTTGGTACAAACCAGCCATGAATTTGTATGATTTTTTTATGAATTTCAAATTCAAACCAACACCTTATTACATTATTACTCAGAATCCAATGGTTATTATGGTCTGTTAACATTCAGTTAAAGGGCTACTTACTAGACGAAAATTGCGAAACTATCCATATGGGTCTAATAACCATGAAGAAACAGATTTCAATAACATATTCATAGTACATAAATTTCTCTGATGTRGGATAATTCCAAAACAGGTATTTTCCCAAATAGCTTTCATGTCCGAGCAGGAGCCTGGGTTCAAKTTTTAAAATTGTAACAATCGCCAAGTTAACCAAATTTTTCTTGAAGAGCACATTAAGATTGATAATATCCCCAACTTTGATTTAGTTCAGATGACTATAAAAGAACCTGAAGCTGTTCAAAAATGTTAAAATTTACAAAGGAATGTACAGATTATCAAAATTAAGGGTTACAAAAAATCCGCGATCAYTCAAGCGTAACCTGACAGTCCGTCGGTATGAAGTGTCAAATTCGACGAAAAGAGACCAGATTTCAAGACTTTTTGAAGAAATTCAATGATATTAAAGACAATYCTAAAAATCCTACCAGCGAATTTAAGAAATAWATTTGAAAATACAAGTTTGTATTTTTCGCCTTTAAAGAGTTGGAGTTGAGCATCAAAATAGACTCGTGCGCGATCCATGTTTCACGCAATCTGGGTGATTTGAGAAAATGCGACTAGCCAATCAGCGCAAAGCGGACAAGCTTATGTTGTAAACATAGCCCCCCGACGGGAGGAATTTGCTCAGCAAAACTCGACAGAGAGTAGTAGGCTGCCCGCCATTTTATTTTATCCAAAAAATCAAAGCCTAACGCAAAGAGAAATTGAAAATGTTTATAAAATAGC